CCCCCTTTCAAAAAAAAAATGGTGCATGAGAGGAGTGGGGACCGAACCCCCAGTGACCCAACTTTTTTTAAATACGGGAGCGTAGTGTACCGTATTACTACAAAAATAAAAAAAATGTTGTGATTCTCTCTGTTCGCCGTGGTAAAGACGTTAAAAAAAATTAAGAAAAGCTACGATAGATTAATGATCGTTAGGGTACCGCATTGTGACATCATTTCAAGCACTTTACAGATCCTGTGATGCTTAAAAATTTGGAAAATTCTGGTACTTTAATCTGCTTCCCTCAATTTTTGCTTCATGAATTTCACGAGCAATATCCCCACAGCTTCTTTCACATTAATTGAGCTTGACAGGGCCTCGGGGAGAAAATCACACTTTTTAGCCATTGTCTGAACACGCAAACGCCGTTTGCAAACTTACTGATTTCGTTTATTAAAATTTTTCATGCTAGTAACTGATCTGCAATCGACTTTGATCCTTGGTGTGAACCTATACACATTGCTTCCAATTCCAATTCCCTGTTGTAAGCAAACACGAAAGGGTTAGAGTAGATGAAATTTTAAACGAGGTTATAACTGGCAATGTATTATATTATTATAGGTATTTCGAATCTTCTTTCCAAATATAGCTTTCTTACACGCGAAGCCAACTCTGCAAACCAAAAAGTACAAAAATAAAAAACTAGCAATTTTTTAAATTGATGCGCCTTAGGTCGAACGTGCAAATCAGCACCGGAGGCGTGGAGGTATACAGCCGGGGATAGATTCATAGAAGCCGCCAGCGGTACTGATACGTCTAACTGCTTCTCTTGGCTTAAGTACTAGCTGAGCTCCCTTCAGTTGCTTCTAATTTTGTCAAATGACTCATAATCAGTTAATAACCACTCATAACATACTGTATTTTTCTATTTATCATGGTTGCTTTGTTTCTTAGTTATTTTTTTTGTAAAATCTCATTGTTATAATGTTGTAGTTGTTCTGCACCTGTTTTCTGCTATAATAGTTTAAATACTCAAGTTTGAAGTCTAACCACCGAGTAAAGCGATCCAACACGTACTACCAGTCTACTCTTTACACTCCACTACTGATACTACTATATTTAAGTAACTTGGCGAGATTGGTTAGCGGCAGTTCCGCACTTTTTCACGTACGAGGTAACGAAAAAGTGACTACTCGAGCTTTACGGTTCTTTGAGCACAGTTAGGCTCTTTTCTATCATTTTTCCTAACAAAAGTCTTACTGCCACTGCCACTGCCATATTTTGGCTCATCAATTAAGACTGGTCTTTCCCAGCCGGTACTTTTTGCTCATTATATGCGGTTAACAGCAAAAGGTAACTGAACGTTCTAATTTTTACGTGGAAATAAACAGTTCCATCTCTGCAACCATTCGTATAAAGTAAACTATAATTGACGTTTGTTTTAGTCCTGACAATAAATACGTAAGTTTCTTCTTCTTCTTCATACTAGAACTTCTTCGCATAGTCTAAATTCAGTTTCGCAATTTTTTGGTTCTCTGAATTTTAAATGACACGTTGAAACTTTATGTAAGACTTCCAGGGTCTTTATTTTTTTGGTAGATTTGAAAATCTCGCTCAGGTTTTGTCAGACACTAAAGAAGGTAGAAGTGCAAAAAAATTTCACACCTTCAGAAAAACTGGTTTAAAGGCAGTGAAGACATCTAGACTAATAATAATCTTATTATCACTATTATTACATAATGTTACTTTCGTCATCACCATTACTATATTTATACATACATTCACGGCAATTCTAGATTCCAAATCCGGATCTAAAGAAGTGGAAGTTGGACACCAGATGTTTCATGCATTCCTCACTTTCTACGACTTGAAGCATAAAGTCACTCAAAGGCGACGACTAAAAGGGCGCGTAACAAGAAATTCCGTCGGCCGGAACCATGCCATCTAAAGTGGTAAGCACCTCGCAGTAACCATTGAAATCAGGCACTCCCCCAATGTTGATAGCCACGCAGTCAAATTCTACACACTTCGCTGCACACTGTTCTTCGCTCTAAAAAAAATAAAAGGTCGTTTTGAATGAAAAAAAATGTTTACCTTGATTATGTCAAGCATCAAGCACTGTTCTATTGTAACACCTGTCTGAAGATTATTAAATATAAACATTTGATGGACTTAAAACTTTTATCAAGTACCATTTAACTGCTTCGTTGGAACCAGTAAGAAATTACAAGGTTTGACTGAGTTACTCAAAAAAAGAGAGGTTAAAGCATTATACGGCCAACGAAGTCCTTTCTGCTGCGGTAATAAGCAGAAGAGTTAAAACTGCAGCTTTAATTATAAAAAACGCGTGAAGGTAGCTCAAGCTTCAGATCGCACAGCAGTCCCTCACCTCAATTCTCATCGTTCATTACAGGTTCTGTTACTTGGCGTACGCTTTTGAGCATTATGGTTTCTTAGCGAATTTGTTAATGGACACATTGATGAAAAGAATTTTTGCTAAAGAGACACGAAAATAGCAGGAAAGGTAGACGATTATAAGAGAAAATTTATCGCCTAAAGACTTTAAATTTAACTGTGAAATCGCATAACAAATGTTTTTTTTTCCCGACAGTGTCTGAAAAAGATTTACTTTTCTTAGTAAGGATACAGATGGTCCTGTATATAATTGGAAATTGACTATTATATTGTCAAAAAGTACGCAACAATTTAAGACATACCAGTAAGCCAGAGACCTGGAAAACACTGGTGCCAGTACATTCGGTAAATTGGTTAAAATAAAATTCTTGCCCGCCGAAATAGTTGAGGAAGGGCAAAGCTAAAAAAAAAAAGGCAACGTTTCTTTACTGTAGGCTCATCGTTTAACAAGTTTGTGTTACTGACATTTCGAAACAAAAAACAATGTGGTAGCGTTTTTGCCGTCAAATACCAGCACAGCTTAGACCTTAAAGAACTTTTGAATGCTACAAAGCTTGAATTACGCCTACTGTATTGGTACTTCACCAGAATTTCAACGAAGATATCTTGAATTACACCTACTGTATTAGTATTTCACTAGAATTTCAACGAAGAAATGATGAAAAAGAACGAATTTTCACCAGTAAGAATGACAATGATAAAAATGAAGAAAAAACCTGTCACAATTTTGTTTTTTGGGAGGAGGGATAAGGTATTATTCATTTTGTAAAAGATGTGTTAAATGTAGAATTGTTTTGGAAATCAGCCCAGATTGCTGTTAGAAGTGAGAATTTCGATTGGTGTTGCTGCTATTCCTATACATTTCGCAGCATTAAACTTACCTCTTAAGAATACAGTTTTAAGGTTGAATATGTTCCAACCTGGCACTTGAAAGATTTTTAAATTGTTTATAAACGCTGCTCAACGTATCTAAAAAGTGTTACTGGCTACAATAGTCACATTGTTAAGCCCCAGTAAAAAGCAGTAAATTACAGCTGTTTCAATCAACTGACCAAATAACTGTTGGACATGTAATATTAAAAACGATCAACTAGCATTATTAAATAAATATTCTAAGTCAATTCTTGGTTGTTATGGAAATTAGTAATTATAATAAAATAATAACCGAACTTGTTAAAACTGAAACATATAAATTGATAAATGTGCCTTCATAAGCAAAATTTTCTTTTATAAATTTTTACTTGCAATAACTCCCAATTTGAAACAGTAGACAGTTCGAAAGTAATCTAGTAATTTGAAGCGAGAAATCCGCTAAAATCAGGGACTTACGTGCACAACCAAGTATGATCTCTGTGCATAGCGTTAGCTGGACAAAGAGTTCCCAAAACTTCCTCATTTGTGCCTGAAATCGTTAGCAGTATCAGTATAACATGAGAAATTTGAAAAAAATTATTTTTTTGGTAACTGCTTGAATTACATGCAACTTTTTAGATAATAAATCTTTATTCTTGAGTTTACATTTCCAAAAAACACAGTAAAGAATTTCACATAAGTATTTCAAAACAAGCTTCTAATATCCCAAACTTTTAATGCTCCCGTTTGGTCCCTTCAGGCGACTAAAGCGACTTAATGCCCTTCTGCTACAAAAGTGTTACTTTTTCTCCTAATTATTAATCAAAAATCTAGCATACCTTTTGAAGCTCTCCCTGAACCAGCAACTATACTTTCTTTTCCGTTCAAAAGAATAAGTCAAGGAAAGACTGTACTACCACTTTTCTAGTCAATATTGAAGAGCAGTAACTGCTATAGATATATAAAACACACGAATTTTGACGTAACCGACAAAGTATTCTTCGACAATGAACCTCAAGTGTCATTCAGATCTAACATTACATCGAAAACTCAATTCTATCAACTTTTCACATCCGTCTATAAACCACCTCTTCCGCTGCTGCATACAACAACCACGACGTTGTTCACAAACCTCATTCAAAAACGCACCCCAACTTTGTAAACCCTCCTAACTCGACTGTTCAAATATTATATGACGCTTCAATTTATTGCAGTCTCAAGAGCATCATGAAGAATACGCAGAGAATTACTTGAGAAAATTCTTTAGATTTTCCGCGTACCTAATGCTCTAAATTACAAGTTCTTCATAACCAATTCTCTCCAGAACACCTAGCTAACAGTTCCTCACAACTGTGAACTGTTAAATAATTATTCTTCAACAAATTGAATGTAGGTCACAACTCGTCAAAAGCTAAAAATATCTAAAAAACAAAAATGCAGCCATATTGAACAACAATTACACTTTTCATTTGTAAAAAGTGAACAGTACAGCTATTTTATTAGAATCAATCGCAACAACTCGACTACTCTCCAAAGGTAAACGGTAAGAACATAAAGAATAAAAAGTAAAAAGTTAACAATTAGGAACTAAAATTCCCAAAAGCAATATTTCAATCTACGAATGTACACAAGTATAAGTAAACAGCATTTAATGCTTCTATGGCGACCCGACAGTTACAAAAACCACATAGATAAAAGTATCATGTCACTGAGGAAAAGTGAGGATATCTGAATCGACTTTAAGACCTTTTGCGCTAACATCACTACGCCTTAATCCCAATTCGAGCTATAAAAAAGCCTTCACATCAGTTTAGAAACCAGAAAAGTAGATAAAGCATATTTAATAAAATAGAGCAAACTGCCCAATCCGTGCAAAGATCACGGTCCTGAAATGTTCTGAAATGTTGAAACAATTTTACACTCAACAAGGATAGAAGTTACAAAACGATCAACTAACCGTTTTAAACTCTCTGTCAACAAAGCCCACTTGCAAACCGCAAGGATAAAAAATCTTTCTGTTTGACTTGTTGATGAAAGCGCGCAAAATACGTTTCTGCCGTTCTGCACTTGAAGCGAAGCAGCATTCAAAATAAGCTGTTAAAGAATAATAAAGTATGAAGATCAGTAGGTCAGCTTTTTTTCAATAATTTACAGTGCCCATACTTTTCCTGATAAATTAATCGTTTAATTATTAGGCAACTACTTTGTGCAAATAGCCTTTGGTACCCACTGTTTTCTAAGCTAAAATGAAATGTCTTTTCCTTTCCTTTGTCTTAACAGTTCCATTGCGACAGACAGGAGATTAAAAAAGTACAGAATGGGACTGAAAATTTCGATTTATAAGAGAAAAAGTAGATGCAAATCTATCATTAATGTACCTGTGATCCTAATTTAGATATTTTAAAAAAAATGTTCAGCTTTACAGTAAAAATAGGATATTTCAAGCTGTAAAATGTATTGCTGAGCGACCTACGGAGTTATTAAACGAATAATTGTAATAGAAAAGTGGAATAAAAAGAGGATTCATTATTTTACAAACCCGATAACTTGCTGAGAGATTGTGACTTCCTAGCGACATCCATTTTTGCACAGTGAACATTCAGTTTCTGGACAAAAGACAACCACTCTTCCTCAGAAAAAGTCATATTCTGAAATTCTCAAATTACAAACAAGCATAACTTCCTAAAAGTAATTTGTAAGCTTTGAAAGCCTTCAAAAAATCTTCAAATACAAATTGTCTGTTTTGCAGTCCTTCGCTTTAAAAACGAAAAAAGTATAGTGAGAAGCACATGAATTAAATCCTTTCATCAATAAATTGTAAACCTGAGAAATATTTCAAAAAACACCACATTACTTTCTATGCAATAATTGTTTCATTTACCCCTAGCTTTAAGAAGCAACAGTCTGCAGGAAAAGTATCAGGAAAACAATTCATATTCCTTACAACCACATTTCTTTCAAGAATTATTTTATCAGTTTCTTCTTTCTTTCTATCACTATCAGGTATCAGAGCTAAGGGCTTTTCTGACGAACCTCCATCGTCTACCTAAAGTAAGCATAGTATTCAGCTTAATATTTCCATCAAGTTCTGAAGTCGATATATGTTTAATAAATCAACATTAATAATTTCAATATTGTAAATTATATTTACCGCTTCTTCCGCAAGGCTGCACAAAGTTTTCAAGGTGTTTCCTCGAGATGATGGCGGAGTTGCTAAAACATCTCGTAATAACTTCGTGTTTTCGTTGTAGCTGCTTGTACTTCCTTCACGTTTTACGTTAAATGATAACTGCTGACAGTCATTAAGCTTTGATCCGCTTGGAATTGATATGAGCGACTGAAATACACTAACATATTCATTATGCAAAATTTACAAGCATTCAAAAAGGCTAAAAGAAAGTCGTTCATTTTAATACGGTAATTTAAATGAATGCAACTATATGTCAACAATAAAAAGCTATGTTTAATTGAATAAATATGTTTTGAAAGTGAAGAGGAACCAGTCACAGAGAAGAAAAGTAACGCAAAGAAACTAAAACCTTGCATAAATTACACTGATCTCCATCTGCTGATAAACGACATCCAAAAAGTTGATTTCGACGTTCTGAGTTTGGAGTAATGCTGAAGCTTTTTGGACGTTCCAATCCTTTTGAGATTTCTGACGGCAAACGACTTGTAACTGTAGCCATCGACCAACTAGGCTTACATCAAACAGCAGTTGTAAGCTAACCAATCAATCTAAAGGGAATTATAAAAAGTTGTTGCACCGGAAAATCTAATTTCAGACGACAATACAGAAACTTATGCTACATTCACAATCTGGACACTCCCAACCGGGTCATTAATCAGCATTCAGACAGTGACGAAACTGTTTCATACAAAAGCGAACAACCAGAAAAGTTCATAGTGAATGAAAAAAACCCACTGTATGGAAGCTAAAGCACAGCTCAATGAAGCGCATTCAGAGTGCTGCATCTTTGGACCTAAAAAAGTTCTGATTACCTTTGAGGGAAATGGCAACTCTCCATCAAAGAATTACAAGTTTTCTATAGTTAACAACTTCTAATGACAGTAATTCCGATTCTTCGACTCTGTAATAGTGACGACTACAAAAATCGTTCTTTTTTATAACGTATCAGCTTTACAAGGTCCTTATTTTTAACCTCTGATGAAATATGATGGTGCTTTAAAAGTGGGAACAAAAATGTAGCTATTTTTGTCTCATTTGTTGTCATTTTGCTTTTTTTTTTTTTTTTGTTTTTGCATTTATGTATGTTGTTTGTACCCTTCCGATGCAAATTCCAGATGTTTCACCTTTTAGTCTAAAAAGTACATAACAAGAAACAAAGAATTTTGATTAGCAACAAACAAAGGAGACAAGAAACGAGGGGGGGGGGGCAAGTTTATCAACCGTAAGTATCCAGTTTTCTAATGCCCATGGTGTATGATCATTTAAGTTGCAGCAGAAATTAAGTAAAAAGAATATGACGTATCTTTGGTCGCAAAATATACAAAAAGAACAGAGTAAAACAAAAAAAACTTATTTTCAATTTTTTTTTCCTTTTTTAATCTAAAAAAAACTTGGATGATAAATGTGAGTAGTAAAAAATTCTACACTGCTACTTTCGTTGACAGCCGTGACTCCCAGTCTAATAGCCTCCCACAGACAGATAAGCACAGTAAGCTACTCTCAGTATGTTGACACGTACTATCAACTTTGATTCAATATCTTATCGAGCTTCCTTCTTAAAAACAACATTCTTTAAAACAAAGCTACTTTTCACTCATCTTTTTTTCACCGCTTATCACAGAGCAACTTCTCCAAAGGCACTCTATTAGTATTGTCTTTATCATTATTCTTATTCTTATCTTTATTGTTCATTTTGATGCTATTATTATTGAATATTGTTATTTTTATTATTATTAATTATCAATTATCAGTTATCATTTATTATTATTGTTACTATTATTATTATTACTATTATTATTACTATTATTATTATTTATTATTATTAATTATTAATAATAATAATAATAATAATAATTATTATTATTATTATTATTATTATTACTACTATTAATAATAATTACTATTAATAATAATTATTGTTATTCATTATTGTTATTATCATTATTATTATTATTATTAGTTATTATTATTATTATTGTTATTATTATTATCATTATTAT